GTAGGAAGTGCTAAGTTCTTCATAGTAGATGTGAAAGAGGGTTCATACAGAATAAAAAAAATGTTTTACTCTCCTTGTTTAAATTACGACTTGAACTAATAACATTTACATAACAAATACGTCAACTGAGGACTCGATGATTGCTTCACTCACTTCTTGATGATCTTTCCTTTAACTTATTATTTCCTGCCTACTCTTTTTAACGGCAGGGTATATATTGCAAAATATAACTTTAATGATGCTGAGATATTTGCGAAACTCCGGACCGCAGGTCGCAGGTTTCGCAATATATACATATATATTCTGCCGTTAAAAAGAGTAGGCAGTAAATAATGAGTTAAGATTGTGATTGTAACTGCAGCCTCAACTTAACTAGGTTCGTTGCCGACTTGATCTCCCCAGATCAATCCCGCTGACGGATGATTGCTGATGGCAAAAGATCGACATAACTAGCTTGGAGACAGGCGAAACGAAGGACCCGCGTAGTGTGGTGGTGAACGCGTTACTCCCCGGTAAAGGACAATAGAGCGTTCGTTCCCCACCGTAGACACCTGCGGTCCGGAGTTTTGCAAATATCTCAGCATCATTAAAGATATTTTCTTTATTCTTTCTCCAATTTCTTCGTTTTCTCTTCTTATACTCATCGTTATCAGTAACTACATAAGTGTATTTATCAAATGAATTGTAAATGGGTGATGATGCAGTTAGGATGAGCTTTGGGCGTGAAGCTCAGCGATATGTTGGACTTTTGACCGAGTCACGCTCACTCTCATCAATAAATATGTCGATGGAATGCGGGCCTAGTGTTATTCCGACTCATTAGACAATCTCGTCTCACGTGAATATATGTGATATAACGTACATCTCGTTGCAACACGATTCTAAAAAAACCTTCCGGTTTTGTTGGTTTTCTGAACTCGTCTCTAAACTTACTAGTTAAGTACTTCTCACAGAAAGAATATGACAACGAGATGCAAGCTTGGTGTTATTCTGACTCATTAGACAATCTCGACTCGTGTGAACTATGCCGTTGTCATTGCCGTCTCTTCGCTGGACGATTCCAGAAGAACTTTCTACTTATCCTGATTTTCTAACGTCGTCACTGGGCTTGCTTATTATCTACTCGTTTAGAACTTAAGAAAAACTTGAATTAGGTATGCTACACTTTCATGCGCTACAAGTAGCTTACAACTTTCCATCGTTTTTGATTTCCTATCATCACTATCATCATTTTTTCTATCATCACTATAATTCACCCACTACTTAAACATTTCTTATCGGAATTCGGTATAACTGTGGTTAACTTTTTTATACAATTTCGTAAAATGTACAAAACCACTATAGCTTTTCAATTCAGTCCACCAAAGTACGTTTGATTTACTCGGTGTGCTTTCATATGAAACAAAATGATTAGCACCTTTCCTTCCTCGTTTTCTATTCTCCTTAGCCCGAAATGTACTCATAGAAACAGACTATAGAAGCTTTAGAAGTTTTCGCTTTAGAGTGCGTTGTTGGGACAAATTTCTCATCTATAATGTATTGTCTTTAGGTTTCAACCAATTCTATTCCGTTTTTACAACCTACAAATCATCATGTCATACAGAATTTCTACTCAGTTTGATTGCCTAAATTTTTCTTATTATATTTAGTAACAGATCGTCAGTAGTTCATCTATTTTCTGACATACAAGTGTTTTCACTTACAACCACCGTAGTCATTTGAGGACAATCAGGGTTAAATTTCACGTCTGTTTGGTGTTGAACTAAATTAAGTGCTTCGAATTCTTAGTACTGCGCTTGCAAGATAAAATCTTCAGTCATTGTCGATTTTAATTATGCACTGATGGAAACTGTTTAACATTCAGTTTTACGTAAATTTCTATTGTTGTCGATAATGGATAGGTTGAAACTACCACAGCGGTTGGAGATGGCTCCAGTACATGCGTAGACGTTGGTTCGACCTCCCACACCGTGCTAACCGAGCCCTCCATCCTTTTCCAGTCGTTAAATTGGTATCAAGCTTTCCTTTGATATAACACCATTGTTCGGATGCACTGTAGGTATCAAACATGCTTCCCACCATCGCTTGGATACTAGGGATGGAGTCCAGTGCATGACGCATCACTAGAGGGTTGATAAACAGCAAATGCCTCTGTCTCGCACATTTTACTGCTCTTAGAAAGAAACTTTCTTCAGAAGAAAAATTTAATAGAATTCATCATAGAGTTTAACAGCTTATTAAGGTTTCCCTTTTGCAGTCATTTAGAATTGGCAATGAAAACTGAGCGTCTTCAAGATTTAATATGTGTAAAAAGCATTCTGAATGGAAGAATTTTTTAGAAATTTCGTAGTCCCAAATGAAAAATTGAAGGAGAAGGAACTAAAGGTCAGCTTTATTAATTGTAGAAACACATTTCTACTGAGAACATAATCCAATACTCGGAACATCAATTGTACTAGATATTACTTATTCCAATGGTCATATGTCTCCCCTGACTGAAGATCATGCGACTCTTAACTAAATCCCCATTTGATTGCTAATTTGTTGGTCGCAGGAAATTTTTTCTCCTCTGAGTATTGCAAAGCCTTGTTAGCGCTTTTACCTTGTCGTCATGACAGACGAGCAATCACCGGCCGTGGTGAATTGAATGAAAGTTCGCTACTTTGTGACTTTGTTGCCATCAGTGTGACAATGAATGCTGGCACTGGTTTAGCTTCTGAATGAGAATTTGAAAGTCGTTCTCAGTTTGGAAAAACTTACTTCTGAAGAATAACTTTCTTTCCACTTACATTAGAAATCCACAAGAAGTGCAACGCTTCCCCTCTACACACACACACGCAATTTGTCGATAAGGGTGAGAGGTTTTGTATATTTGATAATGTAATCGATTGATTGAATTATTAATTTATCGACGTTGTGGTCGTTTCGATGACTAAACCGTCATAAACGCTTCCTTGGCCGAACATAAAGTGTGGGTGCACAAGTGTCGAGAATGTGAAATCGCCTTTTTGGTGGAAAACATTCTATCCCCAAGTAAATTCGAGTATTCGTACTTTTTATAACGAGAAATATACTTAATAAGCTTTCATATAATATAATAAGCCTCTATGGAATCTGTTTAAAAATGTTGCCACAGAGTCATTTAGTGTTTTGTTTACAGCAGCTACTAATAAATATTGATTTTCCAGTTTACAGTTATGGTGATATTTCATTGTAATAAACACAGAATGAGAATAGAGTCAAGAATGTTGATTTTTTATTTGCTTCCTTCTACAAATTTCCCAGCTGGGCGCTATGCGAAATACAATCACAATGGTGCTGAGATATTTGCAAAACGCCGGACCGGAGGTGTCTCCGGTGGGGGATGGACGGGTTATTACTCTTTCCGACGGGTAAAGCGTTCACCACTACAACATGCGGGTCCTTCGTTTTGCCAGTCTCTCGGTTAGTTTTCTATCGATCACAGTCAGGAATAATAAGGTTCTTGTTTTTACAAATCACAAATTTTCAAGAAAATTCTCGATAAAGAAGAAAACTGATAAAAATCATTGTTTCGACGAAGCTCTATGTAAAATTACAGTTGAAGATTTCTCTCTCGAGCTAAAATGCTAAGAAATTTTCATAAATTAATAGATTAACGGAATGTGGAATGAAATGGTGAAGTGAGTTTTTTAATGGATTACATTTGAACAAATTGTTTGCTGTTGATTTTGAATACCATATCACCATATGGCACAATAACACTAATTAAGCAAAATAAATATTTCTTTCGAATGAAAACAACGATGACTGAAGGCTGCCGTAGTTCTGCATGAGATCGAACCGCTAGAGAGGTTATGGCTTTCCATTGAGTGATGTCGCACGTCATGGAAATACAGCGGCTCAAAAATGTGACTGAGTGCTTCGTATGTACTTTTCTATTCTAAGCTTTTATTTTCGATTACCTCTATCCTATTTTAAGTATTGACTGGACAGAAATTGTGGTAGCTTTTAAGCATCAATTTTGGTTTTGTTTCTTATTTTACATTCTGCTTGTCAGATATGATACGTAACTCATTTGACTGAGAGTAGAACAGCGTTCAGTACCAGTGCAAGTTTACTAAACTTTTTCTCGTTCTACTTATGAAGTTCTTATGATAATATGGATAAATGTGAGGAGTAGGGAAGGATGAAATCGGTTGCTTTTCTCTGTTTCGTCGAAAATTGCTTTCTCTCGTGTACCTTTTGTTAATTATAGGAATTAAGCATGGTTTTTTAATACCAGGAATAGAAAAATAACTTTTGTTATCGAGAAAATAGTTTTTGACAACTTATTTCCTCAAGGCTTTCTCGTAGTTTTCATCTGTGGTTAGTTGCCCTAAGAAAATCGAATCAAACCAAGCATTTCTTTTTTTGATTTTATTACTTTCCTATAACCAGATCTTATTACCATCCTTATGATCTCTTCTATCCTTTTTCACATATTTTTCCTCTCGATCATTTTTCGATCGATATCTATAACTATTACGGGTTCTCGCTGAGTTAACAACACAAATGGCGAGCAGTCACTTATCAGCAAAGCATTCTGAATATCGTGATTATGATTACGGTATAAGACTTGATTGTTTTCTAGTGCACTATTCTAGAGCATATAGAATTTTCCATAAATCTCTCGATTAAGTCTCTTTTCTTCTACGTGAGTGTCTCGATGATGTCTAACCAAACGTTGCACATGTACTTAAGCGATTGGATTTCTTTTATAGATAAAATAAATGAGATATAATAAAGAAAAAGGGAGCAAATGGGACAGTGGAAGTTGCTTGAAATTGTTTTAGAAATGATTATTCAACAATGCATTTACGAATACTTTTGCCTGTTAACTGGTCATTTCGACCTTGTAGGATCTTGGTTCGTTCATAGAGGATCCCATCTATGCGTTTTCAGATGGCTATAGTTAAATAGTACCTATTTAATCATTTTCTCACTTTTTTCGTTTTTATGATTACTTTTCATTATTTTCTATGTTTCTTGTGCTCATTATCATTTTTTTCAGTGACAGTACCGCTAAGATGCGATGTCGAATGCGCAAGCAACTCTTTATTCAACGTAGTAAGGTGAGAGTCAACCGTTAAGCTTTATCTCTAGGACTTATAAGCTTCATGTGGTAAAGAACTCAGCAGCGCTTTTGCTCTATTTTGTTCTTTTTCCTCTGGCTCGAAAGAATTCCACGCTCTTTTTTCACATAAATTTCCGTCATACACATTATGTATTCCATCATGTATTATGATTTCTTGAAAAAAAAGTACTATTTATGATAATCTTCTTAAACTTAGACCTTTGTACACCTTTTTTGAGGGATGTTCTAGAACTTTAAACTAAGCCACTTCCTACTTTCCATGAAAGTGATCGTTTCCGGGATTACCGTAATTTGGTAACATTAGGCTAGAGATACCGTATGAATTTCCTCATATTACGGAAATTAAAATGCCTTAGAAGAAATTAAAATCTAATTAAGTGGGACTTCTGTGCAAGAATTTGTTTTGTAAACATGCATTCCTTTTCATTTTATTCATTTCTGCTTTAGGTTTGTGACTTATCGTTAATATTAGCGATAGCTGGACTACTTTTCGTTATTATCGACGCTGAACTCACAGCACTTTCATCCACCACTCATATCACAAAGGTCTTCGTTTTCTTTCCTTTTTATAAATTTATTTTTTATTTGTCTTCTTTGTCTTCTTCACAACAACTAAAAAGCAAACCAAGGACCAATCAAACCTCTTTCTACTCCTGAGATTTTTGGTAGTTTTCACAGTTACGCCGTATCGTTCACATCCATATGATTTCAAACACATCGCAATTCAAATTTACGGCCACAGTTAGTTTTCGCTGTAATATGCATTTAACTCAATGCATACCGTTGCAAATGTTCTAACAACAGGCAGTGACATCTCGTAATCAATTCGTTAACTAGTAAAATAGGTAGTTCCGGAGTTTTGCAAATATCTCAGCAATCTTATAGGTAGTTCCGTTCAAAATGGCTTCCATGCTATAATAATGACACCAAAGTGTCTCGTTTAGGCTCATAATGTATCGTTATTTCTTCGCTCCGTAGCTGTTCTCTCAACTATATGCCTCATTTGTTGTCTCATTAGTTACCACGCTATAGAAGTAAGTTGCTTTTTTTCTCATTTGTTAAAATTTCATTTTCTTTCTCCATTGTTACTCTTCTTACAATATTCACGATGAGCTTTCGAGCGGAACTAAAACCGCCCATAATATTAAGCCTCCAGCCATCCACCATCCACCCTCTTATTATCATGTTGACTGGGAAATTCGCTTAGGCTCAAATTCGATCTGGTGGCTGACGGACATATTAGATTACATTTGTATGTAATCGGGTGTTTAACGGTTAATTTTGTATCCAACTTTGTGTCGCGTATACAAAACATGAAGACCGTGAACATAGACGATTCTTTCTTTCGAAAATTTGGTTGAGGTGATTATCGCAGTGGTTAGATGTGCTCCACAATAGACACTGGCTCGTTCTCGAGCGTTGAGCAAACAAAGCCCTCCATCCCTCCGGGTACGACAATTTAGTACTAGGCTCATCAAGGAGGGCAAAAATTGCTGAACTGATTCCTCGGTAGGCCGCGAGAATTCATTGTATAGGCCAAATATACATTCAATTGTCTCTAAGATGCTATGAATCATGTCGTATGCATGGAACATCCCTAAGGAATTGGCAAACGCTTTATCTTCCCTGTCCTTCATGCTAGCGAGAAATCATTACAATTCCTTGGTCAAAAGAAAGAAAACGCAATGTATCTCAGGTGAAAATAGCATTGATTGATTCGGGTGCCGATGATTGGCGTGTTGCTATAAGTATGGATAGGGTCATCAAGTTGTCTATGGAGTTGGCAGTATGCGCTATTTGTCCGTTTCCAGGTTAGTCAACAGTTAATTTTTGTGGATTCATCACCAAAAACAGTTTCGCTTCGTATCGTTGTGCATGAAGATACCCAAATGTAGTGGTAAGAAAAATAGTACAGAAAAAAACGGAGACATAAAAGTACTAGTTAAATAGCACGAAGGTAAGAAAAAAGGTTTGAGCGAAAAAAAACTACATGTACGGTATGGTATACAAAATACTTGAATATGCTGGAAACCATGAGTTTCTTCAAATAACCTGTTGCTGACGTTCTTGTTTTTCGATCGTACACCATGACTTCTGAAGCTCTTATTCAGGGCGTCTCCCCTTTATAATGAACAGTCGGAATTCCCGTAACTATCCTAGGTTTTTTTCATAATAACATTGATAGAATTGATTCCAACATGGTTTGCATCGTTTCCATAGAAATATTAGCAGAACTTATAAACTGATCTGTTTGAGCTGATGCGAGGTTGGTATAGGTCTTCGTTGTTGTTGTTGCTGGTGTTGTTGGTCGATCGCCGAAGACCTATACCAGCCTCGCATCAGTTCAAAAAGATCGGTTTATAAGATCGTATAGATGAATATATCAACTATCTATGCTGAGGTTTATAGAAAGTTGGTCTTTTGAGTTATTATCAGAACGACAAAGCATCTACAAAATACTCTACAATAAATTTCTAACGGAATTAACCGTTGGTTTCTTTTCTAGCCATTTTCTTTTCTGTGCATGAGTTAGTCTTTGAGAGCGAAACTTTCCGTTGTCTCCGACCTATCACGCTTCCAGAAAAACTTCTGGAGATATTCGAGAACGAATGAGCTGGCTAGAAGAAAAATATCTTTAAAAAATATGACTCGCTCTCTAAACAAACATGCACCGTCAGAAGTTACTTTCTAGATTTTATACCATGCGATAGGCAAAATTTTAGAATTGGAAGGCTACATTTCTACTGGCCTTCAATTGACAAAGTGTAGCTCAGGAAAAATCTCTTAAAAATACGACAAAATGCCTGATTTGGTGCTTTTATTTTCGCAGAGGTAGAACTGTCACACTTTCATCTGCTGCTTCTCGTGTGTGTTCAGTTTGTACAATTGATTTAAAACTTAATTAACCAGTTTTCCTTTATGTAAAATAAATTTATTTCTTTTATAATCTTACTATCCAGTTCACACTTCATATGCTAACATTTTTTGTCCAGGTTCCGGGTTCATACGATGGCCTTTCATCTCTCCGGAGAATCGTCTAGTGAAAATGGTTGATGTACCAGTTGATGTACTGCTCTCAGTACCCATGTTTCTTCGATCATATCTACTTTGCCGTTTTATGGTTTTGCACAGCAAACAATTTCAGGTGCATTACTACTGATCGTCTTTACATCCATCATAGCTAACTTCAGTCAACTATGAAAGTCAACATTCCTCGTAACTGAACACCCAATCTCCATGATTACCAAAGATTTTAAAACTTACAAAATCTTGAAGGTTTCCGGCAGTTAAGAAATCTTTTCATTTGCAAGGCCACTGAAGATGGAATAAATGATTTCCTTTATGGCTAGAATTTCTGGGGTGAACCTACTGCAACGGTTACGGGAGTCTTGCAATGTACACATGTCATTGGTTCGCTTTCGCGTACCAGGTTCACCAAGCTTTCCATCGTCTCGGGTTTAGCAAACTGGAGTCACACTTCTCTAGGAAGATAGGAGCACTGGCTTAATACACCTTTAGGCCAGATAAGCATTCAATTACCTCTGACGGCAGAAACTAAAAAAAGGCTCTCGACATTGATACCTGATAGGTGCGCCGTGAATTCGAATTCATTGAGTATCGTTAGAGGTGATTGAATGCATAGATGGTCTATACAATGGCTCGCTGTGGCTTTCCGTGTACCGAGTCAGTGCTCCAGCCCCAGAAGGATGGAATGCTTGGTGAGCCTGATGCGCGGTTTCGATCCCGTGTTTATTGCTGGACGCCTCTAACCACTGCGGTACACATGCCCTACTTCTGATGGTACATTATGAAATTGAATGTATGTTGTATCCTTTTGGGGTAGATCTAGGCAGAATCCTTTACAACTTGTAGTTAGAGTTTCTAACGGCATCGTGATATACTGCATTCAACATCGATATTAAGGATGCCGCTACTCGTTCAATTGCTGCATTGAACAGAATTTCAATGGATTTTCGTTTTGTGATCAAGACAATGATGGCTGATCATCCACTACAAGTATTGATCGTTTTCACTATATCTTATTGGATATGTATGTCGTGGATGTTCACTCAATGCGAACGGTAAGTCATTTTCTACAGTTTCATCGACTAAAGAAGTTGATACTATAAATTGATCGAAGTCTTTAATTCCCTCAAAAATGGGTCCAAATGTTTTGAAAAAGCATTGAAGTTTTCTAAAATAGTCAGTTTACAGGTACGATGGAAAATTGGATGTTGAGCATTATTACCTCAACTCGATGTGGTTCATCATGGTCACATTCATGTCTATCGGATACGGTGACATTATTCCAAATACGTACTGCGGACGAACGCTTTCAATTGCCACTGGGATTGTGGTGAGATTTTCAATACATTTTCTATAACCAAATAATTGGTGGAAGAAACAAATCAATGTTAAGATTTATTAGCAAGTATCGGCCATTTTCATAAAAATCAGCTAGATTGTTCACATGTCATAAGACAATGGAACCTGTGGTTACCGCTAGGTAAAACTATGAATAATTTCTACTATTGGCTGTGATAACTGAAAACGTTCTGTTTCCCGTAGATGATACGGAACAGGGGAACTAATATCATCGATTGAACTACAGTAGAACATCTAGTCAATCTTGTATCATCTTAGCTACGAACACATGTCAGCACTTCTAGCTCGGTTGTTCGTGGTATCCTTTCATGAGGAATTTTCCATCATCTTAGGAAATACGACGAGATTGTTTTCGTTACAGTTTCACAGAGGAGATGTGTAATATGGTAGTTAAAGGTGCCTACAGTGCACGTAGGGTTGTGGTTTTGTCCCCATGGCCGGGCTAAGCAAGCGCGTCGTCCCTACGTGGTCCGAGAATCAGTATCGGACTTGTCTCCGAGAATTAACACTGATTCTATACATTTCGTAGCTCTGTTCAAAATGTCCATTTAATCATCTCTGCGATACTAAGAATGGAGAGGGATGCATAACGAATCTCTATGTGATTGAACAAAGCCGTAAACTTTATATTTTACCTATCCGCAGACAAAGGCATACTTTCTTCCTTAGATGGTTCACACCGTTTAGGGTGCTGGCGTATCATCTGCGTTAATCGCCGTCATTTCACGTAAATTGGAGTTGAGTCGAGCCGAAAAGCATGTGAATAATTTCATGGCGGATTCCAAATTAACTAATCAACGTAAAAACGCTGCTGCGTCGGTACTTCAAGAGACTTGGTAGGCTTTTTCCCGAGAACAGAATGTTTTCTTAGGTTCTACCTTTTCTTGGGTTAATTTTTTTAGTACAGGTTCATCCATAAGTACAAGAAAGCATTGCACAAAGGTGACGAGTTACGCTTACGACATCATCAACGACGTTTCTTGCATTCCATCAATGAATTTCGACGTATTAAATGGGATCAACGGAAATTACAAGAAAAAGGAAACTCGTTGCTTGATGTGGGAAAGGTTCGTTCACTATGCACAATGATCACCGTTGTCTTGATGGATGTACTCCATCCGTAGGAAAAAGGAACCTTTTTTAACTTTTAAAAGAGAAAGTAATAAGTATCACTGCTATGAATCACAAAACTCTTGACGAAAGGTGATTACTAATTGAAATGTTCCTTCCATGCTGCACAAAATTTAGCGCGTATAGGGATAAAAATTTAACTCGTATGGAAATAAGTTTGTGATTTAAACATTGAATGCGGTGCTCCTAAAAATGGGTCACACGCAAAGAAAACCAACTAGAACGCAAATATCTTCGGCACATTCAAAAACTCAGAATTCAAACGAGCTATTATTCGTACTGGTGGATACATTTGAAAGACCACTTTTGTGCTTTTCAGTTGCATTCGGATATGCATGAAACACTTTGGGAGATGCATCGTGCTCAAGATCATTTCATTTCACAAATCGACACACTTACTCAAAAAATAATTGAGCTACAACAAACGCTCTCTAATCAGGCGATACTGGTCGGGCAACCGATCATGCAAGGTGCCTGTTGTTCACAAAGATCTACCGTGTCACATTCGCCACATGTAGAGCTTCAAACTCAGCCAGTATTGAACTCAAGTGCCAGCATACCACGTATTTCGGTTGCGAATCATTCTCATCACAATAACAACGACTCATTGAACAGTGGTTGTGAGACGATGAACCCGAAGATGTACAATCAGTGTCAGGTAGGTTCCCAAGTTATTCGCCTCTTAAATCTCATCAAATTTTCGAAAACAAAACTTCTTAGCGTTCGAATCTTGAGTAGTTTTATGATCTTAGACCATTCTGTTCTGTTCGCTTTAAATCCCAGATATTCGATTTTACATAGTACCAATGAAACCAATGAATATCACATATGTATGAATATGTCTCATCAACTATTCATATGCTGAATACGCCAATTTTTGGCATTTTTGGATATTCGCTTGCATAGCACCAATCTCGTCCGGAAGTTCTGCTGAGCACACAGCACATCCAATAGATATTGTCTTTGTTCTTTACCTGTTCACCTTACTTTGTTAGAATAAATGACACGCCTCGCCACAACATACTCTCCGTTAGCTGGATAAAGCGGTATAAAAAATCGGTTTGTTTAAAAAAGATTTGAATCGGATTACTTAGGTACTTAAATGGTCCGCCCTCATATGACATGTGTTCTGAAACAGTACCAGTTATTGTCTGTTATTGTCTTACAATCGTCATCCATAAAGATGGTTAGGTTCCACCATGGGGTTGGAGGATCTGTCACCAGTACTATTCTAATGAATACGCTAAATTCTGAAGAAGTGTAACTTTCCATGAAATTCCGAGACAGTTGTGCCAGCGATGTTCAAGAGTACCGCTTCAGTTGCTTTCAAACCAAGGTTTTGACTACCTCCGCAAGGTAAAACCATTTTGCACACAGAAAAAATACTGGCGAAACTACCCATTATCAATTGCTGAGGGAAAAACACTAGGTGCGGCTGAAAATCGGTTAGCAAGAAGCTCATTTATTAACGTCTTAAACGTGGTTATACTACTTGTCGATCTGTGTTTGTTCTAGGTCGATCAAATCGCTGAATGCCCGACAGGAGGCAGATACGTCACTGTCACCACACCGTTAATGGAATCGTTTGACGAAGTATGAATGCAGATCAAGTCAAGAATGTCTAGAAGAATACGTTGGTTCAATGCGGGTACGAGAATGCTGGTCGACATCCATTCCAGTGATTTATTACGCAAACTATGTACTGTGAGCAACATACAGTAGTACAACGAACTGCCCACTTGTCCTTACTTCTATATCCTTTTCATGTTCCATTCATAATGCGATTTAGGATCACTTCGTAGCTTATTGCTCTGTGCAACAGAGTTTCGTTGTCCGGAAAGATTATCATATCTTTAACAACCATACAACGAAGAGATATCACATTTTAGTGGTTCAGTACGAATTCCTATGCAAACGTGCTAGAGGAGAACGTTATGACCGTAATCTCGACGAATATTAATAACATGAAAGATGGCTGGAACAAGGGAGAAAATCCTAGAACAATAGCAAGCATTTTTCTTGACGCCTTTTCGCTGCTACTCACACTATAGGGAAATTTGTGGATCCAGAGCTGTACACAAGGACTAATCTAATTTTGATCCTAACATGTAAATTCTCACTTTAACGATTCTTATCCAGCATTAGTTCCGATATGTTTTAAAAATGAATACAGAGAAACGATTCGAAACTATTATCGATATTTCTTATTATGTGTAATATCTTTAACTTAATGATAAACTTAGTCTAGAAACTTAAGAGCCTTTTCTAAATACACAATGTTTCACAATAATGTTCAAACCTTTTCTCTAAGTTTTCTAAACTTACTGAATCGACACAGATCCCTCCTAAAAGTCCATGCCCCATTTCTGCTATTCTACACTAGGTACTATCTTTATCATCTGTAAACACATCCTCATGATCTGTATCATCTGGAATGTTGTTAATTATCCAGTGTCTCGAGCTGGTAGGGCCTTTCTAAGTTTCTGTGGCAGACCAAGACTTCCGCTACTGAGATCTCGACGGACATTACAGAGTCACATCTTTCCTAGAAAGCGTTTTACTTCTACGTTTATTGGTAAGACCGCATCCATGGGTAGATGGCGAAGATCCAGTACAAGGCTACTCCAAGACCTTGCTTGCCGAATTCTATGGAGGTGAACGTTGACCACTACTTTTGGAAGTGATCTAGAACCATCCCTACCACATCACTTTACTAGTCACCAATCTGCAGGTTCTAAGGTCGAAATTACGCGCACGGTTCAGTTAGTGTACAAGCACACTTGGTGATTACAAGTATATAAATGATGTAGATCAGTTAGCAGAAAATACAAAAAGTCCGTCCGTATAGCTACCCACAATCAGGATAGGTAGTTACACAGATTAGCGCTTAAGCTTCTACCTTCCAGCTACCTGTAAACGCGCTACATAACCTTGTGACGAACCGGCTCGATATTCCTCATGTGAAGATGGTTGGTGAAATTATATGTATATATTTATATTAATAAAGAATCAAGGCACTTGTTACAACAAGGTACAACCATGGCAATAACTTAGTCGGCAATGATAAAATACATTAATAAATACAGAGTGCGTTGACCTTTGAATACTAATGTTCTTTGTGATGATCACGTTGCTTCTTCGGAACGATCACGACTTAGAATTTTCATTATTCCTTCGTAAAAACCAAAAACTACAACAGAACAACATAGCAATAACAAATGAACGCTTTCGTAGTAGTTGGATAATTCTAAAAGATTCTAATAATGCTAATTCTTACAAACTTCAATTGAGGACAATACTAGTAAGTAATAAAGCTAAAGGAAAGAGCAAGTAATAACACGTTAAAATTGAAAATTTCAAAACTTAAAAACATGTTCGTTCACAAACGTTCCAGACATTTTGCCTTATTCAATGGAGTGGTTCATTACGTATACGACAGAGTCGTAAATGAATACACTTCAAAACCTACAGGATTCTTAACTAGATTAACAACTAATCAAAGAGCAAAAACTGCTCAACTAGAAGAGGCAGTAGAACTCCGACAATTTGCCATGACAATATGATCATACTAGGTAATACAAAAGATTCACTTGAAGGTTACCATAAGATGTTTTGGACGCTGGTGATGACTTGACGCTAAGCCACTACAGCTTGATTTCTACACAACATAATAGAAAAGATCGCAGCTAAACTACATTTGGATAAATCGCTGACATCTAAGGTAGTTGGAGCTTCACCTCCAAAACGTAATATAGATAACCGCAATTAAACTGCTGCTGTGACCACTCCGAAGAAAGAGAAAACGTATTGGCCAAAGTTTTGAAGGATTGGAAAAAGAGAAAAAGAACATAATTTCATGAGCCAGCAAAGATTTCTAGATAACCGAAAGAGGAAGTTTTTCGTAAATACTAAGGCGGCTTGCTGAACTACTAAATTGTATTTAAACTATAAAAAGAATTACAAATCATCAAAACGGATGCTTGTAGGAAACACGATTCGAACAATCTCGACTGTGTGCACCGGAAGAGGGCAGAAGGAAGAATCTCTGAAAATGACGCGGCAAACAGCTATTTCCAGTGACTATAAAGCCGTAGATCTCCGAGATAGGTGCAGAGGAAAACCCAAGCCACCAGCCAAACGATACTTCTAGCGGGAATAAGGTGCCGTTTATACTGCCCCTCACTTTCAACGAAATAAGTGCAGCCATAAAACTCTGCTTGAGAACGGCTAGTCTAGGGGAATCAGTAACAGTAATTGAAATACGACCGCACGCTCTAAGACGGCAGCTAGTTCGCAATCGCTTATATGACCGTCTATGTACAAGGCAGAATTTCAGAATACGTCCTAACAGTAGAGAAGGTGATTGCAAGAGTTCTGATATGGTTTATCTGATCTCTTGTAAAGCGTGGAGAGATGAATACATTGGCGAAATGGGTACACCACTCTAGATTCGTATAAAAAGGGCATCTAGTCGGTAAATTTAAAGTTAAACCAAATACTCCACTAGGCGTGCGTAGGACATCGATACATAATGGGGAAGATTTTGACGCGGAAGTTAGCGTCCTCGCACAGGAATGGAGAACTTCAGCGCGCAAAACGCTCGAAGTGTAAACATGCCTGGTCTCATACACAGTATTTAAGGCTGATATTTTAATATGCGAGAGGTACATTACGTCTTCATGTGAACTCTGTACCGTCGGTCTCCACGTGAAATACTCAGCGAAAGATCCGTAGAAAGCGGTGCGTGCAAAGAAGCTAATTTGTTTTCAATACAATTGAAATCATCGTTTAGTACCTTCTATGTTTTGGTTATGGAGGTGTTTGGCTGGGTAGACTGCAGTCAACTTGACCATTCCAGGTTCTCAAGAAGGCAAATCGGTCAAGACACTAGCTTTTTCGTCAGAAAATAATAAATTAACACCTCGTGTTTGCTCACCAAAAATGTAATAAATTACTTCTATTTAAAAGAAGAACTTTGACAAGCACTGGTTGCCACTAAGAAGTAAGAAAGTACTATTAAAGCGAGCTGCTTTCTATTCCAGTTTCTTGCGTAGAGGGAAGACTTATTAAATTGTAGATACTATTGTTCATTTGTTTCCTCCTTGTTTATGGGCTGACACCAAGTCAATACTAGCGATCCAAAAATTAGTCATGGTTTGCAGGAATATTAATGTTTTTCGTCATTTCATCAAATGCAAGCTTGTCGACATAAGCATTTCTGTCGAGGGAAATCAGCAGCGGCTTGTTGTGCACAAGCGCCGTCGCCAAAGGAATCCACACCTTAAAAACGGCGTTATTCAAAATAAAAGGTAACGAACAAACCACTATACAAATATATAGGCTTGTAAACTTTAACAAATCATCCAAACATGGAAGATCTCGAAAAAATGAGCAGCTGCAGATTGAGCTGTCCACCCATATAAGGAACATTATTGACATGGCCACCGTCAGTGTCTTTCCATTTCAGTTGTCCGGTTAACTACACGAGTGCCCAAACCCTCTATCGTTATCTACACATAGTATAACACTTCCAGTAGTTCCTTTTTGATATAGAGATAAAAAGAATAGAGCTTTCGGCTTCGATTAATCCGAGTGAGGGACGATGAATTCGATTCTACCAAGCATCTTTAGACATGATTGAATGCAAACCTGGCCTATAAAGTGAATTGCAGTAGCCTACCGATATATCAAGTTTGTGTTGCTATCCCCCCATATAAGTCTGGTACAAGTTTGCCGAACCCGAAGGGATGGAGAACTCGATGAGCTTGGTGTGCGAGATCGAAGCAATGGCTACGTGAGTATTGTAGGGCACCTCTAAACACTGTTCTATATGCGTCTTCATTTTAGATATACCACGCAAGGTGACATCAGATTTGTGGGTGACACCGCATAATCTCATGGTCAACATACCAGGAGTATTCGAGGAAATCCTATTGTGCTGAGAATAGTAAATACCAAAGCAAGAAAAACTTTGGTGTGTCTTCGAACAAAGTGGAACTTTTCGAGCACAATTAATACCGTCATTCTTGTACAGAAAGAGTAATTTGCACATTACGTCACAGATGAAGGGTTTATTTCATCAAATATAGTTTTATGCCCATGACGAAGAACATTCATAAGTTATGCCTGGAATCAGTGATCTCACTACTCCTAAAACTGTCACTAGAACAAATCTTTGCTGTTGATTCATGTCCAGGAATTACACTCACCGACAGAATGCTGTCGATTGCTCGTCATTAACTCACACCAACTTATGTTTCTATTCCAGAAAACTACCTGTTTGGTGTCCAAATTAGGTTATAAGCATTCTTTTTTCAGAAATTAACGTTTTACGCGAAGAGATTAAGACCGTTCCAATAGATAGTAATCGAAAAGAGAATATAACTTACACTTTCCTTGTTCGCTCTAAAGGTGATATTGCTAATGGACACTTTGGGTATCAAGAAATCAGCCTTAGTACCAAGCAAATCTAGAACACCAAGCTATGCCATGTGCGACGTCAGCCGGAATACAATCAGTCAGAGACAATCAAAACATCGATCATATTTTTCCACACTTCAGTAGTTAAAGAGTGACGAAATAATAACAACACATTGCTCTGGATCTAAAAGCAGATAAAAAGGATAAAGCTCCCGGTGTTGATCAATCCCTGAGAGATGCGCCATGCATTCGACTTCACTAAGTACCGTTGGGCAAAACTTAGTGCATATCTGGCCTTTACGATGATTAGTGATGGACCACCAATGTATGTATTATCGCAGTGATGCTATCCTCCCAGACAAAGCCTGGTGACAATTTACCGACCCCAGAAGGATAGAAGGATTGGTGAACCTTGGGCGTGTGGATCGATCCCATGTGCACTACAGTTGCTGCTGACCCATAATATCATGGCAGAATAAAACCTAAAATCTAGTGATATCTCATTTTTCCATTCACGTTCTGATTCTTCACCAACTCCTATTCACTAACATACACAGTCAAATAATGCATAGCTGAAAAGTACGAGCAAGTGAAACCATAGATTAATGGGAGTTCCATCAATACATTTGAAGAAAGTGATACATTTCAAATGCTCATATGAATTGATGAGTAGGAAGACATCAAGAAACTCGCGGCTGGAGATAGGAATAAGAAGGGGAACTCAGAAAAGAAGGAGTTAATAAAGAAGGTACCTGAAAACACTTTCGCAAGGTAGAATAACATTAATGGTGCTGAGATATTTTCAAAACTCCGGACCGATGGTGTTTGCGATGCCGACCGAACACGCTACTACTCTATCCGAGGGCTAAAGCGTTCACCACCACACCATATAGGCCCTTTATTTCGCCTTTCTCCCAGCTAGTTTTTCTACCTAGCAATGCCATCAGAAATCACTCACCAACGGGATTAACCTAGGTAGCACAAATTGGAGATGATATTTAGAATAACATTTTCTTGAGGACCCAACTAACATCTTTTTTTTTCTAGAAAAACCTAATCAGTAAAAACTGACAAAACTACATGCTGAACACTGCGTTATACAATCCAGCAAGCTCTAAAACTGCACACAAGAGACCTGCCGTCTCAAACAAAGTAGCAATTGCATTGGCCAAGAGCTGCTACAGAAGAAAAGGATTTTAAAACCCACCAAACACACCTTATGGGAATTGTCACTATACCTTGCTAAGAGAACTCAAATGTTTACAACGAAACGGATAAAATCAGTAGTTCTTAAATATTTATGAAGAAAACATGATGACTAAGAGTCAATAAAGCAGGAAAAGCGATGAAATTATGATGTCAAAAACAGAAATTGTTTCTCCCCAGCAACTTATTACCAGAATCGATCAAAATGTCGACGTTTTCGAGATAAACGATAAAAGGATGAAAAACATAAGGACATAAAAATAAAACTGAAACCAAAACTTAACCAACATACTAAGCAAACACCAAATTTCAAATACAGAAGAGAGGAAAACAAATACATGTCCTTCCAAATGAAAACTACATCACTGGACATACCTTTTTCATTTCAGGAGCAATTTGTGCGTCTACAACCTCATCTGCTTTGAATCGCAACGCCATCTTTCTCAGGAAGAAGTTGTAGTGCACGGAAGTAAAGATCTATAATATGTCATGGTGATATAGCTCAGCACCCGAACTATGCCCCTTCAAAAGAGTTTCTCTGAACATATGTCATAATCAGCAAAAACGATTCTTTGAAAAGCCAATTAATCTGAGTAAAAAGACCTTATACATAAAACTCATTGCTCGGCGAATACAGAAAGAATGAAAAATCTCCAACGAAAAGCGAAAATGTCGAACCACAGTGTCTTGCACAAGCTATCAATCATAGTTGTTGAAGCTAAATACCCCACAATACGCGAGCATCTGTGCCCAACATGGAGTCATGGGATCATTAAGGAACAATATATAGAAAACCAAGAACGCCCATCCATAAAAAAAGGTTTCTGGTATTGATCAATTCCTGAAGGATGCGCCACGCACTCAGCTTCAATAAGCATCCCTTAAGATGACTGAACGCATATCTGGCCTGTGCAATGACTCGCGGTGGCCTATCGGTGTATCGAGCCTATGCTACCTATGCTCCCAGACAAGTCTGGCACCAGTTTGCCGACCACAGAGGGCTGGAGGGCCTGGTGAGCCTCGGGCGCGGAGTCGAACCTATATGTATTCCAAGGCGCCTTTACCGAATGCGCTGAACGAGCCCATGCGGAGCCCAGCATATCCTCCACTTTTTTGGAGTCCTGCCGGTTAAGCCATCGTGGTTCCCTGGAGTCCTGTGGTTAGCCAGGCGAAAGTCTGTCCCAAATCGTCACCGTCACAGGCAGTCACCGCACTTGTAGGTCAGAGGGAGATTTGCCACAATGCGACTTTTTGACAGCAGAACGGTGGTGGATCTTGGTGTTGATTTACTCTTAGCTAAGCTTTCTGTTGGAAACGCCGGACTCCTTTTCAGCTTGGGAGGCCCTGCCGAGGGGATAAATAGTCCCGCTGTAGGACGTAGCCCGACACCCAGTAGCACCTACCATCCGCGATAAGGCCATAAGCCGCTGGGAGGAAAATAGATATATAGCGTGCCGAAATGCTTTCTAAAAAGGATGAACTGCCTTCTTTTTGATTACAATATTAAAAACTATCCTCAACCAAAAAGGAATTAAACTGCTATCTGTCTTCTATAGAGATCGAGGATTTTTAGCGCCAGAGCTTGACACTTCATTAAAGTATGGAAAGTGTTAGATTAACAGAGTGAAAAAAGAAATCTAAGGAACTTACCTTAGTGTCCCTGTTGTAGTAAAGATTAACGGGGAACCGCTTAGTTAAAAAGTGTAACAACAGTGGCGTAAACGACAACAGCGCCAGAAAAGTATTTGCTACTAAAATAGTAGAAAAAACGTGTGAACAGTTCAAAATGAAATTTTGCGCTTCAAAAGCTTGATGAAAAGAACGATATCAGATAGAAACAGACCAATAGTAAACAACATTATTGTTGGTCTCTCAGTGGCTGCCTCCCATAAATATGATGATATCAAAGGAACCATCACTGCACCGGCTGCCGATGAGGAGAGAGAAAGTATCTAAACGTGCAGGTAATAAGGCTCATATTCGGAAACCTGGAATAGGCATACCTTCGCCGCAAAAACACCAGTAGCAAGAACGTCATGTGAAGTTCTCGGTGAACCACGAGGTAGCACCTCCTTGCAATGCAATATCGAATGACCGATTTCGTCACGTTTCAAAGTCGACAGAGGAACAAGATGTGGTTTTCGTGTACACGACTCTGAAGAGAAACCATCAGTTCTGCATGACAGCACAATTGAGAAGTACCACTCTGCAAGAACGGGTCCACAAAAACGGGTTATATCAATCAATATCCAGATATATTTTCGTAGGAACTACCCTTGTTTAGCTGACGCAAACTGGAAATTAAAGTGCAATTTATAAGAATACGTATCAGGCCGAAAAGCAGGTAGAAGAAAGAACGATGGCCTCAGTTCGCACTCAGCTGAACTCGAAAACTGTTTCCAACGCACCGTACGACGGCAACGACACCTACCGCATCAAGTTCATCAACGCTTCCGCATGACGCATTGGATGAGCGACCAAGACGACTAACATAATGCATCATGGTGTCGACCTGGGTTGCAGCGTGCTCGACCCTAAGGAAGCAACACTTACGGCTGTGTCATGCGATACTTTCGAGAATGTACGCGAGGGCACCAACAATGATCGTATCGCCTTCGAATGATGCAATTCAATACCCCTGATGGAACCGCAAACATTTTAGATTTCAATGAGATGGCACAGTGTACAGAAAGATCATATATATACACATATATACATATTTGCATCACCTACCACCTGAAGTCCTGTTGATCGTCGAGTCACTCGAGCGTGGAGCGTGTGTCAGTAAATCTTCTATTTTACTCTGTCTCGTGCAAGAGTAGGCCAGTGTGTTCTGCTCGCTCTAGGGACTCGTCGAGAATCATGCCTTTCTTCTAGGTTTTTCGTGAACAACTCTGACCATCGAGTCCGTGGTCTTCCAACAGTGCACTTAATATCTCGAGGAACTTAGTCACTAACGACTCTTCTCCACCGGTTGTCAGTCACACGCAATACGTGTCCGGACCACCCTATCTTCGACTGTGTGGTGTACAGAACGGCATCTTCCATTTTTGACCGTTGATGCAGGTCGGAACTTCTGATCCCTTCAATTACTTGTGTGAAACGGGATACTCCTACCATCGCCCTTTCGACTGCGCGTTCGATAACGCTGAATGATCTTTCATCCTGATTACGCAGCGACCAGGTTTCTGATGTAAACGTTAGGGCAAGAAATATCGCTGAGTCGAAAAGGTGGGCACGGAGTCGGGTGTTCTTTGTACTCTTCACTACTCTTCGATACTCTTGAAAGCCCCCAAGCCGCACGATTCCTTCTGCTCCACCGTGGAGCTAAGTCGTTCAACATATTGATTTCCCGACCTAGATAGACATAACTGGAGCATTCGGAGATATTCATTCCGTTGAGCGTGAATGGTGCATACAAAACCAATCCGTTTTTCCTAAACATCTTTTTGCAAGATTCAGTCAAAGATCAATCTTTTCACAGGCTCTATCAAAGCCGGCAAACATTCCCTCCGCTCGGTTAATGTTTGGTGTTATAAGGACGATATCGTCATGAAAGAGAGATGGTGTAACTGCCGGCAATCGATTTTCACTCCCGTATTATCTCATTCCAATGTCGCATGATGTTCTGGAGGATGGCGATAAACAATTTTGGCGAGATGGTATCACCTTGCCTAATCACTCTTTTGATGTCAATGTTAATATCGCTGTAGAATGGCGATATCTTGGTTGTGGAATCTTTCTACAGCTCACGAAGAATCTTTATGTAGTGAGTAGGGACTCTTTAACCATCAAGGGCTTCCAAGACTGCTTCTATCTCAATTGGATCAAAGGCCTTCTGTAAATCGATGAAAATGAGATAGAGCGGTCTTTTATACTCTCGCGATACTTCAATGAGTCTTGTTATCGTGTGAATGTGGCCCATCGTATTAAATCCTTTTCGAAACCCTACTTGCTCACAAGGCTGCCTTTCGTCCAGTGTTTTGTCATTCCTGCTTAGGAAGACTCGAGTGAAGAGTTTGTAGATGACAGACAGCAAGCAGATTGGGCGATAGTTGCCGACATCGTCGAGGTCACCCTTCTTGAACAATCACACGGTCTTGCTTGTCCTCCACTGAGTAGTGATCTTGCGTTTAGACAGGTAACGTGTGAAGAACCGAGCCAGTTTGTTTACGAGGACTGGCGGAAGGTGCTTCAGGTATTCAGGTCTTATCCTGTCCGGACCTGGAGCTGTTCGATTTTTCACCGACGGAATGGTATGTCGGATTTCGTAGGGGCGAACCGGTGGTACAACATATCCGTCCTCATTTATTTCATATGAAGGGAGGTGGACATAGCTATCGAAGGGATCCGAGTAGTATTCGTGAATGATTTTCTCCATCATCTTTCTGGACGCTAAAACTATTCCGTCTGGGCGTCGGAGTGCAATCATTTTGGTCCTGTAATTGGTGAAGCTTCGGTGGGTTTTGCGAATGCTTTTCCTAGCCTCTACAGCTTCGACCATTACTGCTGTTCTTCTCTCTTTAAGATCTTGTTTTATCACCTGTCTGCATTGTTTGGAAAATTCGGACGTTAGTTCGTGGTTTCCTGCAGCTTGTTGGATTCCACGCTGGTGTATCAGCTCGAGTGCTTCTGAAGACAGACGTCTCTTGATGGCTTTTGAACATTCAGCTTTCATAGCGCTAACGTGCCGATTTTGAATGAGCCGATAGTATTCTTCGTCGATGTTATCGAAAACGGCATCTACCCAAAAGCCGACTAACGAGTTGAATAAGTCCCAGTTTGCTGTGGTTTTCGGAAATCGTTTTTTGAATTTGACGGCTACTTCTCTTTTCTGCGAGAAATGGAATCTTGCACGAAGGAGGCGGTGGTCTGATCCTGTGTAGAATTTTGGGACAACAGCGACATCGGTTAGGCAAATCTTTCTATTTACTACGATGTGGTCTATTTCGTTATGGTATTTTTCATTGTGAGATTCCCACGTCCGGCATTGAGGGTGGGACTTCTGGAATTGCGAGTTAAAATGGATGCTCTTGGTCGTCACGATAAACTCATACCAGCTCACCCTGTTCGGTTCATTCTAATCCGTGGGTCCCAATGTGAGGTTCTTCAGACGTTCTTCTTGGTCCAATCTTGGCGATGAAATCTCCAATGATGAACTTGAAAAATGTATGGTCTTCTCTGTGGAACTTCTCCAAGTTCATGTAGAACGCTTCGACTTCTTCTTCGTCATAGTTTGATGTCAGCGCGTAAACGACTAAGATTGTCAAAGCCGGAATTGATCCACATCTTTTTAATCGTAAACATCTGATTCGGGTTGTTAGTTGTTCGAATGAAACAATGTTCATGGACAAACACTGGTGTTGACGAAAACATCGACGACGTCGACTCCTGTACTGTAGCAAGTTCCGAGGAACAGTTCTTCTCCGGTGTCATAGACGGCGTTGAGTATGTGGCATCGCCTCGTCTCGCCCAGGCCGATGACGTCGTACCTTATCCTTCTTGCCTGCATGAGTAAGTCTTCTATGGAGGACTCGGATGCAAGTGTACGTGCATTGTAGGTACAGACCGTCACCATAGTTCTTTGTAATCTAGGCAGCTTCCATTGGCTCTCAAATTTTTAGCAGCCTCTCCGTACTCGTCCTACCCAACGCTCCCGAATTGGTGGCTCTTTCGGGGTCGGAGGAATGAGGTTTCTTTTACTACTGTTAGCACTTTGATACCTACGTATAGCTTGATGGACTGTGAACGTGGAGGCTGGGTATACTCACGGGTAGCTTACCAGGTTCTCCCAGAGTGGACATGGAGCTTATTTGGTTGAGGCGACTCCTAACCGTCTCCCATATATTTCCCTGTCACTTGATTGCAGTCTTCTGGCCGAATTGACTCGTAGAATACAACTTCCATAAACTTGAACTCACCCACACACGCGTGCATGAATACCCCTAGCAGATACAGAAAGTATGTGCCAAATCAGCGCAGCAGAAACAGAGAGTCCATCCCCTGGATCCATCTGGGTCTCAGGGAAGCAAAGGTTGCTCTTGCTCCGCGATTAACCCTCTATCCGCCACCTGGCGACGAGCCACATAGCCTCCCGACTAACCGGCTATCGGGATCCCTCAGGGAGATCCGTGGATATATATATATATATATGTATGTATATACATGTATATATACACACATATATATTGACTATTGTGCCGAGGTTTACAGAAAGTCGATTTCGAGTCAATATCCATATTTACGATGCACTACATGCATAGTTCGGCAAATTTCATAGTGTATCAAACAAATTCGTAAAAAATGAAGATTTACATCCCTACAAGTAACAGCAGTATGTCTACTCTTTGGCTTTCACATTTCTTAATATAGAAATTGACAAAAATCAGAGTTTACTTTAAAATTTCAAATTAATTTTGTAAAACGCAGTGCTCCTTCCTCGCATAAAAATCCTCAGTAAAGTTAATTACCTACGAGCCAATTTCTATTAAGCACAAAACATTGCTTAATACTTGAAAATAATGGTGATAAAAGTAAAGATAGCTCTTAGAAGCGAAGTAATCGGACATACTTGAACTATTATGTTGTCTCAACACTGACCGCTTTCCTAGACATCGTAACAACCATAGCCTCGAACTTAGCATAGAAACAAATCTGAAATATCTAACTAATATCCAAGACATAATAGAGAGCCCATGCAAACTAATGGGCACAAAGTTTACGTCTCCTTCTTAACTACCGGATATAAAACGAAATTACATAAGCGAAATACAAAACAACGTTAACGAAAGAATCGTATCAGAAGAAAGGAAATGCAAGAGAAACGTCCTAGGTAGCACCAAGACTTCCAGAGTTACGATTCAAAACAGAATTGATGAAAGAAAAAACGATAGAAACTTTGATTTAGTTGCAAACACTGGAGATTTGGTATCGAGAATGTTTTAGATGCTTCTTGAGGGGCATCTGAAAATGCGGATCGAGACTGCAATGCTTTTAACTTCCTTCTTTATTCACTGCCTATTATTTTTCACGGCCTTCCCAATGGCTTAATGCCTCATAGTGGCTGGAAGGGCTTCCTGGGTGTTGGGTTGCGATGTACAGCGGAGGGATCCATCCCCTCAGCAGGACCTCCCCAGCTGACAAGGAGTCCGGCGTGTTCATCAGGAAGCGCAGCTAAGAGCAACCCAACACCATGATCCACCACCGGCCTGGCATGCAACTAGTCACATGGTGGCGAATTTCCGTCTGATCTACAGTGGCAGCGACTGCCCGTGGTGGTGACGAGCTGGGGTAGACTTAGGCCAGGCTGACCTCGGGATTCCACAGAACCACAATGGTTAAACCAGCAAAACTCCGAAAAATCGGAAATTACACTAGGGCCAGCAAAACCAGTGAGGACGGGTCATACAAATATCCAAGTAAGCACGCATTTTTCACGGCAAAATATGATGTGAAACACAAATATATGCTGAGATATTCGGAAAACGTGGACCCTCGGCCAGA